CTGGGGGGTCTGGGGGCACTGGGGACAGGGATCATGGGGTCCAGGGGACACTGGGGACAGGGACTGGGGGTTCTGGGGGACACTGGGGACAGGGACCATCGGATCTGGGGACCCACAGGGTCCAGGAAACCTCACGAGGGACAGAGAAAGGACAAAAGCCACCGGGTGCTGGGGACAGAGACAGGCCCCTGGGGTCCAGGGGACACCCCTGGGAGGGGGGTGACAGGGTGACAAGGGCTGCGGGGGACCTGGGGGGGGGGCCACCACTGACCCACAGCCTCACCACAAGCCTGGCTCCTGCCAGTTCCTGCCTCCTCTCCTCGTCCAGCCGTGGGCAACGCCGCCGGGGCCGTGCCACCGCGGGGTCCAGAACCTTCCGGTGTCCCCAAACCGCTCCGGGGGGGCTCGTCCTTCCCCATCTTTGGGGGTGACTCCCCAGCGCCGTCACCGTTGCCTCCGCCCCCCGTTTTCCTGGAGCTGCCTGGAACTTGGGGGTCCTCATCTTCAGGGATGGGGTTGTACCAGATTTCACCTTCGCTGCCGGCAGCGCCGGGGGCCGTTTGGGTTCCACCACCTGGTTCCTCCCATCCAGGTCCCTTCAGAGAATCCCAGGATGGTTTGGGGTGGGAAGGGACCTTCTGGAGATCGTCTCCTCCAACCCCCACCCAGAGCAGGGGCACCCAGAGCAGGTCCCATCCAGGTGGGGTTGGAATATCTCCAGAGAAGGAGACCACCCCACCTCTCTGGGCAGCCTCTCCCAGGGCTCTGCCACCCTCAAAATGGAGAAGTTCCTCCTCGTGTTGAGATGGACCTTCTCCTGTCCCAGTTTGTGCCCATTCCCTCTTGTCCTGTCACTGGGCACCACTGGAAAAAGCCTGGCCCCGTCCTCCTGACACCCCCCAGCCAGGAGATCCCCCCTCAGCCTTCTCTTCTCCAGACTCCAAAGCCCCAAGTCCCTCAGCCCTTCCTCCTCACAGAGATGCTCTCCTCCCCTCATCATCTTCGTAGCCCTTGGCTGGACCCTCTCCACCAGTTCCCTGTCCTTCTGCAACTGGGGAGCCCACAACTGGTCCCAGTGCTCCAGATGGGGCCTCCCCAGGGCAGAGCAGAACCTCAAGGTTCTCCACGCTCTTCCTGATGCCCCCCAGGAGAACATCAACCTTCTTGGCCACAAAGACACGTTGGTGGCTCATGGTCCCCCCGTTGTCCCCCACGACTCCCAGGTCTGTGTCCTCAGAGCTGCTCCCCAGCAGGTCACCCTCCAACCTCTACTGGTTTGTGGGGTGACTCCTCCCCAGGGGCAGCACCCTATGAAGTTCTCCCCAACTTCTACTGGTTTGTGGGGTGTTTCCTCCCCAGGGGCAGCACACTATGAAGTTCCTTGGTGGGACTTCATCAGGTTCCTCTCCACCCAACTCTCCAGGTCTCGCTGGATGGTGGCACCTCCTTCTGGTGTGTCACCCACACCTCCCACTTGGGTGTCACCACCCAAGGTGCTGAGGGGACATCCCATCCCTTCACCCGGGCAATTGATGAAGATATTGAAAGGGACTGGCCCCACCACTCACCCCCGAGAGCACCCAGTGCCGGCTGCTCCGCTCCAAACTCTGCAAATAGGCACCGGGACCAGGGTTCCTACCGGTACCGGGGCTCCTACCGGCACCCCCCAGTTCCCCGGAACCGTTCACGGCTTCGGCTTCCTCCGCCGGTTCCAAATCGTCCTCCCCCTGGGGGGGGTCAACGCCGGCGGCGGGGGCCAGTTCGCTGGGATCCGGGGAGGATTTGGGAGGTCTCTCCTCGCGGCCCCCGCAGGAGAAACGGCCCCGGTGGTGTTTGCGGGGTGTCACCGGTACCGGTTCCGCTGGCGTCGCTTCGGGCTCCACCGGAGAATCGGGGCTCGACGGAGGATGTTCTGCAGGAAAAGAGACTGCTTGAGCCAATGGGGACCCCCAACGGGACATGGGGACCCCCCCTCTTCTGTGTCCCACCCCCCCAGCATCCCACCGGGCTACCCTGTCCCAGATGGGCCCCCCCAGTTCCTGGTGCTGGTGGGTTTTTGGTTGTTTTCCGGCCACAGGATGTGGGGGGGCCCGGTAAGGAGGTGGCGGGGGCACAGCCAGACCCCCCCCTCTCTCTGCGGGAAAAGAGACAGCTTGAGCCAACGGGGACCCCCACCGGGACATGGGGACCCCCCCTCTTCTGTGTCCCACCCCCCCAGCATCCCACCGGGCTACCCTGTCCCAGATGGGCCCCCCCAGTTCCTGGTGCTGGTGGGTTTTTGGTTGTTTTCCGGCCACAGGATGTGGGGGGGCCCGGTAAGGAGGTGGCGGGGGCACAGCCAGACCCCCCCCTCTGAACCCCAATTGGGAGGGGGCTGCACCCCAAGGGGACGGGGGTGGCTCTGCCCGTGTCCCCTGGCTCCCTGCTGCAAGGGAGGGTTCTGCCCCCCCCCTCCCCTCAGCTCCTACACGGGGGGGGTTCCCCACAATAGGGCACCCCAATCCCCCTGCAGGGTGCCCCCCCCGCTATGGCACCCCATGGGCCCCCAGGACCTCCCCCAACAGGAGCTGAGTGCCCCCCCTCCATGTGCCATCGTCCCCAGGAGCTGCTCCAGGGGTCTGGGACCCCCATACGGCTGATCTTCGGGGGGCCAGCCCTGGAAGGGGTCGGTGACCCCCATGTGGCATCTCCTGCCCCCTCTCCCCAGCCCTACAAGGGGTCTGAGACCCCCCCTGTGGCTTGACACCCCCCCAAAAGATGTGGGCTGGGGGCAGGAGGGACCTGGGATGAGGATGATGGGATGCCCCGATTCCTGTAGGGCACAGAGGGGTGACGGAGGTCCCTTTTTGGGGGGGCAGAAGGGACCCCAAGGTACTGAGGGGGACCCCTCCCTCAGGGGAGGTCCTTATGGTGGGGGAC